GAACTATCAGCCTACAACATCATTCAACTCAAGCACAAGAAAGGCAAGTGTAATTGTGATGCTGATCTTATGTCCCGATATCCAGTAGAGCCGGCTGATGAATATGGTGATCAAGTGACAAGAATTGTCAAAGAGCCAATTGAATTAAGATCCATCTGTAGCGTGATTACAAGATCAAAGAAGAAAGCAGCGCATAGTTCACACCAATTACCAACGAAATCTTCATTTCCATTGAAGACTACAACGGCACGCGGTTCATCATTTTACATGGAACTTCGATCAAACACATCGAGACCACCATCAGACCAACCTTCATCCAACACCACAGCAACACCAATGGATACAACCGTCAATTCAGTACCAACAGATGGCCCTTCAACATTTCCATTGCCAGTTAAGACATCACCATTTCAAATCAAGAAGATTAAGGAAGCGCAGACGAATGATGGTTATGTTAGAAACATAATTCAAACACTTACAGTATTGGACAAATCTCAACATGATCTGTTAATGAAAGATGGGGTTTTGTACAAGTTATTGGATCGTGATGGCAAATCGATTAGTGTCCCATACATTCCACAACAATTAGTGAAGGAGGTATTGTACTTTTCTCATGACTTACCGACATCGGGCCATTTCGGAAGAGACAAAACATGGAACCAATTGAAAAACAAGTGTTACTGGCCGCGAATGTACAATGACATTGAAAAGTATGTTAGATCTTGCCAATTCTGTTCACAGTTTAACATTAGACGGTCAAAACCATCAGGAAGACTGGACCCTATTGAACCTCCAGCTGAGATATTTGATTTAGTGGGAATCGATTTTGCTGGACCATTCCCACCAACAACAGAAGGTAACACACACATTTTAGTGATCACGGATTACTTATCCAAATATGTGTTCGCTAAAGCTCTCCCAGATTCAACGGCGAAATCAGCATCGACGGTCCTTGTGGAACTGTCATTACAATTCGGAGTACCGAATGTGGTTTTATCAGATAATGGCCCAAGTTTTATCGCTGACTTATTTCAAGCAGTGGCAACACAACTGGGATGTAATCGTATTCTTTCCACCCCTTATCATCCAGCTACCAACGGCCAAGTTGAACGGATGAACGCAACAATTAAAGCAACGTTAGCCAAATTACAAAAGCAGTATTTTTATGATTGGGACCAATTCTTATCCGGA